AATTACTTTTGGAGTGTCAAGAACTCGTTGGAAGTACTTGATAAATTACATGCATATATTGGTGATTTTGAATCTGTTCAAAGTTTTGATTTTTCTACCCTATATACCACATTGCCTCACATTCTCATTAAGAAAAATTCACACACCTAATTAAATGGGCATTTAAAAAGTCAGAATGTGAATATATATGTTCAAACTCTTTTAGGTCATTTTTTAGTAGCAATAAACAAAAAGACTATGTCAATTGGACATGCTTTGATACTATATATGCCCTTGAATTTTTACTAGATAACATTTTTGTTCGCTTTGGAGATTCCGTATATCGTCAGGTTATCGGAATTCCAATGGGGACTAACTGTGCACCACTTATTGCGGACCTTTTTTTGTATTGCTATGAGTTACAATTTATGACAAAAATCAGCAAAGACCCATCGAAACAACATCTGATACACAAATTTAATAATACTTTTGGATATTTGGATGATATTTTGGCTCTCAATAATGACGACTTCAGTATGTATACTAAAGAAATTTATCCTGTTGAACTTACTTTAAATAAAGCTAATACTAACAATGACCACTGCCCGTTCCTCGATCTTGATATCTATATCATTAATGGAAAGCTTAATACTAAAATATATGATAAAAGAGATGATTTTTCATTTCCTATCGTTAATTATCCATTTTTAGATGGTGACGTTCCCTTGTCACCATCTTACGGTGTTTATATATCTCAACTTGTACGATTCGCTCGTGTATGTAACAATGTTTTAGATTTTAACGAGAGAAATTTATGTATTACTGAAAAATTATTACACCAGGGTTTTCGATATCACAAACTAGTCAAAACATTTACTAAATTTTATCATCGGTATAAGGACATCATTCGTAAATATAGCTCAACATGCAGACTTCTTATACGTTCAGGTATTTCACATCCAATTTTTTATGGAAATATTCTTTATAAAGCACAAAAATGTCAGTATTCACCTCTGAAGCTAACAAAACCTTTAAATAGACTTATTAAGAAGGTATATAGTTACGATACTGTTGTCAGGTCATTAAAGATTGCATATTTTGGCGTTAATATTGATTCACTTATAGGGTCTTTGCATCGGCACTAAACACATTTATTTAAAAACCAGTTGTTGGCATGACACGGGTTATGTTCTTCTCATATATGTTATGATGGTATGATACTAAACCCCTAACGGGAAGGATTGTGCCTGATATTCATATGATGAAGACATAATCTTTCAATCAGTTTAATTGAAGTCTGGAGCTGGCATGTCAGTTAACTGCTAGTAGTCTGTTGTTATTTATGTATTATTGTCATTTTGTTTATTTTCTTTGGTTACATCTTCTGACATCAGACTCGGACTTCTCTTGAACTGAATTTTAATGTGCGTATTGTTATGCGTTTACTTTTCTACATTGGCTAGAGGTATAGGGGGAGGGTTGAGATCTCATAAACATGTTTAACCCCGCCGCATTTTTGCGCCTGTCCCAAGTAAGGAGCCTCTAGCCTTTGTAAGCCTTGTATTATTTTTAATTTTAGTTTCTTGTGTACAATTTGGAGTTTAGTATGGCGTTCATTATCACTGAACTAGTATATATATTTGTTTAGGGGCCAGCTGAAGGACGCCTCCGGGTGCGGGAATTTCTCGCTGCATTGAAGACCTGTTGGTGACCTTCTGCTGTTGTCTGTTCTATGGTCGGGTTGTTGTCTCTTTGACACATTCCCCATTTCCATTCTCAATTTTATTATATATTAACATGCGAATGGCAAGCATCTATATGTATATAGGTTAACATACAAATGGCAAGCATATATTATATATATATATATATATATATAGGTTAACATACAAATGGCAAGCATCTATATATACTCTTTAAAAATTCAAGAGTCTATCCTAAATTGAGGTAAATTATATGGCCTTCCAAATACCGTTTCGATTCCTTACATCACTGAAGAGACATTAATTGTCGAAATCCGGATATGGTGTACAAATTTTTGCACCTCATGTTTGCGGTATACCATCTTTTACGCAAGTTTATTGTTTTCTGTTTGGTAATAAATTAATTATAAGATCCATTTTGTTACATCTGGTGATCCGTTTATTTGGCAATCGCCAATGGCAGTCAGCAGGGTTTAAGAACATCAGTTGTTCGACCTGCTAATCAAATGCGTTTTGTTAAAATATACTTTTTCACTTTTTTGGTCTTTTGGAAAATGTTGTTTGTGCTGTATTTAGACCCCTCTACCCAGAATTTTTTTTCCATGCATATGTATAAAAATTGCGGGTTTTATCCAACGCAATCATAGGTTTGAACGTTATTTTCAATTTAGACTTGTATATATAGGTTAACGTACTCATGGCAAGCATCTATATATAATTTCATATCGTCAGTAGTCCCGAGTCTAGAAAAGTTGTTATTTATTTTTAACAGTCATATTACTGAAATTGTCTGAAACATCAAAGGCAAGAACAGGAAAAATACTTGAGACAAGAACAATAAAATGTTGCGGGGTAAAAATTTTCTGTTAATAATCAGTCCTACTCCTTGTATCGGTCATTGTCATCAAAATGTTACTTTATTTGAAAGATAATGAGCAGGTGCTTGCATATATTAAAAATATGGACGTATCCATGTGTCCCTCTGGTACAGCCGGAGTGGACACATGTGTCCCTTTGGCACAGCCGGTGTAGACACATTTGTCCCTCCGGCAGCAATTTTTGCATGTGAGAAGAATAAACGATTATAAGTGACCCTTTATTTCCGACTTCCAAAGAAATTAGGTATAAAAACCCCTGTGTACAGTGTTATACAAGAACCCTTCTTCATCTACATGATTTTGCTATATATTTCATTTAAAACAGGCTACGATAATGGATTTAAAATAAATATTGTGAGGTCATTTATAGTTGGATTTCAATCTACTTGGTACCAATAAAAGCAAGTTTGTTACACATGTATTTGTTTATTTGGTTATATATTTGTTGAGAAGCATTCTCATTTTCTGATTTATATAAACACAAGTATATTATTTTTGTCCTGAAATTTGCTATTTTATTTCAACCAAATTAATTTGTAAATAACATATTATACATGTTCATATTAGGTGTAAACAAAAACAACCGAGGACAAGATTATGAAAAAATGAACAAGTTTACTTCGGACAATTCTGTGTCTTTCAGCACATTGTTTGTTAAAATCCAACCACATATGCCCTCAATGTATTTAAAAAAAAATATGTGATGATATGAAATATTTAGCAAAAAAAAAAAAGATAGGTGGAGAATATTTATTTGCATAACACTGTTCAATATTCTTTTGCAAGATTAAAAGTATCTTTTTGCAGTTGGTCTTGTGTTTGGTTTCGACTTAATAAAAGTTTCTTTTTGAGGGAAGATTTATCAGACAGAAAAGATAGGTGAATTAATTGGCAATCATTATAAACATGTTAATTGCATAAATGCAATTAACTGTAAATTCATCTATATGGTCAACAGCATGGACATTTGCATAGTTAATCTTTTAATGTACAATATAATTAGTCAATATATCATCATCAAAGTTGTCTACTGGTCACTTCCTTTATCAATGAACGAAGAGAAAACTACTGGGTGAATCAAATCTGAAAGACGTCAAAAGAATTTGGCACTGGCGACGTCCAAATGTGATGACACATTGGCAACGTCATAACGTTCAATTTTATAAATCTGGCATCAAGAGGGACAACCACTGAAGTAAAGGATTTCGCCAACACCAATGACCATGTTCGTATGCAAGCAAACATTCCTGACTCGTATGCATTACATTGAAGAGGCACAAAGACCTGGGAAGTACAACATCAAGTTGAATAAATTGAACGTTTTGCATACACCAGCTTCTTATGCAGACATACACCTTTGATAGGTGTTTAGTATGACGATAAATTTTCACTTTTGTTCTGTACTAGGAACAACGAAATTATTTATTTGGTAAAAATTATTTCCGTACTCCATGTATATACCTTACAACAAAATAATTTTTATTTCTCTGTGTATGTTATTTTATTTGGCGGCATTTTGTCCAAGGATATGGTTGACTTTCTGATATTGTTTTACATCTAACCCCCTTGTTTTATTAATTTTGTATTTACATTGTGTCATAGATCAAATTTATTCGTTCAGTGTATGTTCACTTGTTTTTGTTAATATGTCTTTTGATTGAGTTAAGCCATTTCAATTGATATTGTATAGTGTGTCTTTCTATGTTGTGATGTTACACTATTGTTTCAGGTAGGGTGAAGGTTTTTGCACCTGTCCTAAGTCAGGAACCTGATGTTCAGTGCATAGTTGTCGTTTGTTGATGTGGTTCAACTTCATAAGTGTTTCTCGTTTCTCGTTTTTTATATAGAATAGACCGTTGGTTTTCCTGTTTGAATGGTTTTACATTAGTCATTTTTGGGGCCCTTTATAGCTTGCTGTTCGGTGTGATCCAAGGCTCCGTGTTGAAGGCCGTACATTGACCTATAATGGTTTACTTTTACAAATTGTGACTTGGATGGAGAGTTGTCTCATTGGCACTCGTACCACATTCTTCATATATCTATATACAGACCTGTGAAATACAATGTATAAATAAAATGTACTGAAGGGTCTGCATACACCTGGTTCTTATGCAGGCATTCAGACCTGAAAAATACTGATAAACTTATAGATTGAAGGTTCAGCCTGTATATGTTAGTATAATAGTCCCAGGTTCACGGCATACACCAGGTTTTCTAGATTCGCGATATTAAAGTGTACGATAAAAAGAAAAACATATTTTTCTATATTTTTCTCGTATTTGCATACGTTTGTCTAATGGACAATAATTCGACCTATTAAGTATGACTTATGACAAATGACCGTGAATAAGAATTTTAATTTTAGACGAGAACGTATTATTATTGTATGCAAATTCCGGAATTTTTGTTTCCGTGTTCGGATCCAGTATTATAATTTAAATATTTCATCATGGCAGCCTCCATGAGGTCGTGTGTCCTTCAGAGAATACAAAATATTGGTCGATTCGCCCGTTCGAGTCGTTATTTGAAGAACACAAAGCAATTTTCAGTTATTCACATAGGTAATAAGACATTTGCAATGACGCAGTTCACTTACTTAACACACGTTATTAACAGTCAGAGCTCAGACATAAATATGAGTCGGAACGAAGATCTAATTTGTCATCAACTACTAACTGTCTTATTAAACATGTTATGAATGTGTATGAGAGTCACCATCCTTCTCTTCACTGATTATATTTTTGTGACACTTAGACTCTGTCAAAATGTTTAAACATAGCTTAGTCGTGATTTGCTCAACATTTTTTATTTTTCTGAGCACAGTCAATGAGTTTAATATACAAAATAATATACTAGAATCCAACAAATATGAGGGTATCACTATCAGCCTTCAATGTGACACAACAATTGAGGTATCTACCCAGATTTATTACTGGCACTTGCATGTGTCCAATTTTAAAAATAGATGTGTTTTTGGCAAATCAGATCGCCACATTCATCTTTTGATTAGAATTCTTTTAAGCAACCAGGTTGAAACCAACCCTGGCCCATCAAACTTGAATGACTCCAGTTATCCATGCTCTATTTGCTCGCATGAGTGTACCTGGGACAGTGATGCTATTGTTTGTGATAACTGCGATAAATGGTGTCATATTGGATGTGTAAATATAAGTCCATCTATGTATGAAAAGTTTGGAAATTCATCAGCACTTTGGATATGCCCGATATGTGATACTCCTAATCACTCTAGAACCATTTTTCAATCATACCTCTCATCAGGTAATTCTATTTTGAACCCTAACTCATATTCAGTACTTTCTGATAGTTCAGCTTTTTCCTTAAGCTTCAATATAAATGATAATCATGAAAATTTTGGAGACCCAGTTGCTACACCATCACCAAAACCACCAGTAACGAAGCAATTAAAAAATAAGAATATTAATAGACAAAACTCATTAAGAGTTCTTCAGATCAATTTTAGAAGTTGTAAAAATAAAGTTTCTCAAATTGAAAATTTATTAACGTCATCTACATGTAAACCAGATATTATTTATGATTGGTAATGAAACTTGGCTAAACAAAGATGTATTATCTTCTGAAATTTTTCCAAACACACTATTTGAAGATGTATTGCGAAACGACCGGGTCGGAAAAGAAGGTGGAGGTGTATTAATCGCCATTAAAAAAGGTATTATTTGCCAAGAAGTATATAAAAGCAAAAATGTAGAACTTATTGCTGCCCAAATTAATATAACTGATACTAAATCCTTAGTTATTATTTCTGCATATAGACCACCAAATAAAAATGATATAGACTATCTCAAACAAATGATCATTGAAATTAATGAAGTTAAATTAAGATTTAAAAATACCACCTTCTGGCTTGGTGGTGACTTTAACCTTCCAGACATAAAATGGCCGGAGCAAAATATATCTGGCTCATTGTATACTAAGGAGCTGAATGAAGCATTTATAGATATGCTGAACAACTTAGGCATTGAACAAATGGTTGATTTTCCAACTAGGAGAGATAATATCCTTGACCTTTTCTGCACAAGCCAACCTGCATTGATAACAAAAATAAAATCCATACCAGGTATATCTGACCATGATATTGTATTAGTGGATGCAATCTGCAAGCCCCAAAGATCTAAACAATCACAACATAAAATTTATTTATGGAAAAAGGTTGATATTAAAAAGATAAAAGACATAACATCTCATTTTATATCTGAACTTATATCTCAGGCTAATGAAAATTTAAATATTGACCAATTATGGAATAAATTCAAAGAAGGTAGTAATAAAATAATAGATGATAATGTACCAAGCAAATAACTAAATCTAAGTACACCAACCCTTGGGCAAATAGGGATATAGACCATTTATGTAATAAACAACGTAAAGCTTACAACAAAGCTAAAAAAACTGGTAAAACAAGAACATAAAGATAAATATAAAAAGTTAAAAGCTACTGCTCAAAGAGAAATAAGAAGAGCCCAGAGCACGTACATGCAAGAAATAATAAGCCCCCAGTTAGAAGAAAAACCTAAATCTTTCTGGCAATTTATAAAAAGTAAAAAAACAGAAACATCTGGTGTTTCACCATTAAGAGGAAAGGATGGCTTATTATATAGTGAGCCGAATACACAAGCTAACATCCTAAATGAACAATTTAAAAAGGCTTTTACTACCGAAGATACATCCTCTATGCCAAATAAAGGTACAAGTCCCCACCCCACTATGCCAGACATATTTATTAGTAATAATGGCTTATTAAAGTTACTTAAAAACTTAAATCCACACAAAGCCACTGGCCCTGATAATCTGCCAGCATATTTTTTACATAATTTTGCAGAAGAATTGTCTCCATTTTTGACATTCTTTTTCCAAAAATCTATTGATACTGGTAAAATCCCAACTGATTGGAAGCAGCTGGCTAATGTTGTACCAATATTTAAAAAAGGTGACAAGCATAACGCTATTAATTATAGACCAGTTTCATTAACTGCAATATGTTGCAAAATTCTAGAACACATTATAACAAGCAACATAAGGAAACATCTTACAATTAATAACATATTAAATGATAGTCAACATGGGTTTAGAAGTAAAAGGTCTTGTGAGACCCAACTTATCATCAGTTTACAAGATCTTGCAAAATCATTGGGATATGGTAACCAAATAGATGTTATACTTTTAGATTTTTCCAAAGCTTTCGATAAAGTCCCCCATCAAAGATTAGCCCAGAAATTAAACTTTTATGGTATTAGGAATCAAAATTTAAATTGGATAAATGACTTTTTAGCTGACAGGCAACAGCAGGTACTATTAAATGGTGTTAAATCTTTAAAATTAGCTGTTGATTCTGGTGTCCCTCAGGGAACAGTTTTAGGCCCAACATTATTTTTACTCTTTATTAATGACCTACCCGAACATGTAACTTGCAATGCAAGACTTTTTGCAGATGACTGTTTATTGTATAGAAATGTTAATAATAGTTCTGATGCCAAATTACTTCAAAAAGATTTATCTAGTTTAGTACAATGGGAAGAGGACTGGCAAATGAATTTTAATCCTGAGAAGTGTTATGTTATTCATATTTCTAAAAAAAGTAAACCTTCCACTTTTGATTATATATTGCACAATCATGTTTTAGAAGCAGTAAAAGACAGTAAATATTTAGGAGTAACTATAAGCCATGATCTTGATTGGGGAACACATATAAACAATATTACCTGTAAGGCAAATAAAACCTTAGGTTTTCTTCGTAGGAACTTAAAAAACTGCACACGTAAGGTTAAAAACCTTACGTACACATCACTTGTCCGTCCAGTCGTCGAATACTCTTCCCCTGTATGGGATCTGTACAAAAAGCAACACATCACTCAGGTTGAGCAGGTACAGTGTAAGGCAGCCAGGTTTGTCTTCAATGATTATAAAGACAGATCACCTGGAGCAGTTTCAAATTTAATTAAATCATTGGAATGGGAAAATTTAGAAATAAGAAGGAAAAAAGCTAGATTAACTATGCTATATAAAATAAATTGGGGGTTAGTGGAATTTCCTAAGGACAATTTAACAATATCTGATAGACGTACTAGGGGGAAACATAAATTTAGGCAAATATCAACAAATAAAGATTTCTATAAATTTTCTTTTTATCCTCGCACTATTTCGGACTGGAACTCACTACCTGAAGCAATAGGTATGTCTGACACCCTGGAATCCTTCAAAAGTGGCATATCCACTCTAACATTTGAAGGATCCACAACAACTTATTAAACTACAAAGCCACTGTACATAATGTATATATGTTATTGTTTTTGATTTTTCTTTGTCATATTATTTTTAAATTAAGTCCATATGTACGTAGCACACAAGTTCCGGGAAGTTTTACACTCCTACCTAGGAGTCTACTCCCGTATTCGGAAGAAGAAGAAGAAGAAATAAGTCTAAATCTGCTTTTGAATTGTAGAGGCGTAGAGGTCTAAATTTGTAGGTTTCAAGATTTGTCTCCCTTTAATTTAAGACAAAATATGACTTCAATAAGTCATTTAGAGTTAAGCAAGAAATAGTTGACCTGAATTAAAAAGTTGCAAATATTGACTCCTACAAGTTGATAAGTTACCAAAATTGGTCAACTTCAAGACCCAAGCATATTTATAAAAACTAAAAAAGGTCATGCATCTACATGAAATTATGACAACATTGAAAGACAATGCTTTGTCTTCTAAAGAAAAATATGCATGAGAGCCTATAAAAACGGAGATAATGTATATTTACTTTACCATGCAACCATCTTTAACCACACAAAATGAGGAAAAAAATCTTATATTAAGTAAAAATGTTCAATTAGATGATTAAATATAGATAACTCAGGTCCTTGTGAACTCTCAGACAGGTTTATGATGTCATAGGTCACTAGGTGGTGCACTTTGGCCACCAATTAAAATTAAGTCTTTTCCATACATGTGAAAAAAATTGGACTGTGAAACTCAGATCGGGAGATTGAGAAATTTTGGTCAGGAGATCTGTCATTTTCTGACTTAAATAAGTCTGAAAATGAAAACACATTTTTATAATAAATATATTTTTTATACAACCGCAAAAATTTTTGCGGTCGTATATTGGTATGACGTTGGCGTCGTCGTCTGGCGTCGTCCGAAGACACATTGGTTTTCGCACTCTAACTTTAGTTTAAGTGAATGGATCTCTATGAAATTTTACCATAAGGTTCAATACCACAAAAGGAAGGTTGGGATTGATTTTGGGGGTTATGGTACCAACAGTTAAGGAATTAGGGGCCAAAAAGGGGCCAAAAATAAGCATTTTTGTAACTTCCAGACATAACTTGTGTGTTAGTGTATGGATCTCTCTGACATTGTACCAAAAGGTTCCATATCACAAAGGGAATGCTGGGATTGATTTTGGGGGTAATTGCCTCAAAATATTAGGAATTAGGGGCCAAAAAAGGGGCAAAAAAAGCAGCAATTTTTCTAGTTTCATGACAATAACTTGTGTGTAAGTGTATGGATCTTTCTGAAATTGTAGTACAAGGTTCCATATCAAAAAGGGAAAGCTGGAATTGAGTTTGGGGGTAATTGCCCAAAATGTTGAGGAATAAGGGGCCAAAAAGGGGCAAAAAATAAGCATTTTTTCTAGTTTCCAGACAATAACTTGTGTTCAAGTGTATGGATCTCTCTGAAATTGTACCACAAGGTTCCATATCACACAGGGAATGCTGGGATTGATTTTGGGGGTAATTGCCTCGAAATTTTAGGAATTAGGGGCCAAAAAAGGGGCAAAAAACAAGCATTTTTCTAGTTTCATGACAATAACTTGTGTGTTAGTGTTTGGATATTTCTGAAATTGTACTACAAGGTTCCATATCACAAAGGGAAAACTGGAATTGAGTTTGGGGGTAATTGATCTAAACGTTTAGGAATTGGGGGGCCAAAAAGGGGCCAAAAAACACATTTTTCTAGTTTCCAGACAATAACTTGTGTTCAAGTGTATGGATCTCTCTGAAATTGTACTGCAAGGTACCATACCACAAAGGGAAGGCTGGGATTGAGTTTGGGGGTGATGAATCATAAGGGGGTTCAAAAAATTGGGGAAAGGGGTTTCCTTTTTTTTCTTTTTTTCCTTTTTTTTTCTTTTAAAATTTTCCATTTTAAGTTGGTTATTCCTGATTTATATTTAAAAGCAAATAATAATGATATGGTAGGAGATACACACCAAACAGGATGTGTAAATTATTATATAATAAGTATTGTGCAATAGCAAGAAATTTTCAATTGCACAGTATTGCACAATAGCAAGAAATCTTCAATTGCACAGTATTGCGCAATAGCAAGAAATCTTCAATTGCACAGTATTGCGCAATAGCAAGAATCCAATAGCACAATATTGCGCAATAGCAAGAAATTGTCAATTGTGCAGTATTGCGCAATAGCAAGAAATATTCAATTGCACAGTATTGTGCAAAAGAAGATACTTCGTATAAATTGCTTATTTCTTGACCAATTTCAATGGGGTTTTATTGTTGAATTCTTGGGGTTCTTAAATATGCTGAATCTAACCGTGTATTAAGTTTTTGGATTTTGGGCCCCGTTTTTAAATTGGTCCACATTGAGATCCAAAGGGTCCAAAATTAAACTTTGTTTGATTTCATCAAAAATTGAATTATTGGGGTTCTTTGATATGCCGAATCTAACCGTGTATTTAGATTCTTAATTTTTGGTTCCGTTTTCAAATTGGTCTACATTAAGGTCCAAAGGGTCCAAAATTAAACTAAGTTTGATTTTAACAAAAATTGAATTCTTAGGGTTCTTTGATATGCTGAATCTAAACATGTATTTAGATTTTTGATTATGGGCCCAGTTTTCAAGTTGGTCCAAATCGGGGTCCAAAATTAAACTTTGTTTGATTTCAACAAAAATTGAATATATGGGGTTCTATGAAATGCTGAATCTAACCATGTATTTAGATTTTTGATTTTTGGGCCCGTTATCAACTTTGTCCACATTGAGGTCTAAAGGGTCCAAAATTAAACTTTGTTTGATGTCATCAAAAATTGAATTCTTGGGGTTCTTTGATATGCTGAATCTAACCATGTATTTAGATTTTGGATATTGGACCATAATAGGTGAATGTCCAATTTAAAATTTTTAAGTTCTTAGACCACATTCATTCTGTGTCAGAAACCTATGCTGTGTCAAATATTTAATCACAATCCAAATTCAGAGCTGTATCAAGCTTGAATGTTGTGTCCATACTTGCCCCAACTGTTCAGGGTTCGACCTCTGCGGTCGTATCAAGCTGCACCCTGCGGAGCATTTTATTGACTTCTGTGAGTCAAAAACAAAAAACAACTTGTTTATGTCTGAGTTCTGACTGATTAACAGAGCAACCCTTCATTTATTATTGGTCTGTGTCTGTGAATATAATTTACACTAATATATTTAATAATCCTAATTATGGTTCAACATGACAATTGGAAATAAATGAAGCTTGTACATCAAAAAGTACTCTGAGACAAACCTGTGCAGTTGGAAAAGTGTATGGCTTAGCATCCCTTAGATACTATAGTATGAGACAGGTGCTACTTGAAAATTATGCTGGGGAAGCAAGCTTTGGTTATTTCAACCATTTGAGGTACAAATGTACACCAAACTATATAAAAGAACCGCATATGTTACCAAAATTGATTTCTTCTTATATTTGTAAGCAGATAAAATTTATAATGTAATGAATGTATATTGTGTATTCAGACATGTGATTCTGCCGGTGGGAGTCAAAATCTCCCGATTTTTAAGCCCTCTTCCGTCCCTCCCTTTAATAATTCAAATGGTAACAATACAGAGAGAATACATTAATAGTAATACTGTTAAAAAAAGGGGAAGAATGTAGCTTTATCATCAAAACAACAATGAAAACGTCGATAAATATGTCGATAAAAAATCTCCAGTTATGAGGAACAAACTCCAGCTGAAAATTTTCATATCTCTAGTTGTGACTTGACAACTCTGTCACATGTACAATATGATGTAAGCAATATACTTTTTCTTGTATGTTCAAAGAAAGTTTTGACCTTAAAGGTAACATTCTTATATAATATTGTATTCAATTTGTATTTTATTCCTATTTTCAATGATTGATAATATTTTAGGAGCACAAATTTGTAATAAGCTAAAAACAGGGGGGAGTAACTCCAAACTTAATTTCCAACATGTTTGAAATACACAGATTATTTATGACCTTAGGCTGAGGTAATATACGTTATTTAACGGTTTGTTTGACTTTGACACCCAAGCTGTCAATTAAATAATATGAACAAATGGAAAACCCATCTCCAACTAAGGAACTTGTAATGTTGTTTTTATACAACCGCAAAAAATTTTTTGTGGTCGTATATTGGTATGACGTTGGCATCGTCATCGTCGTCGTCATCCGAAGACACAATAGTTTTCGCACTCTAACTTTAGTTTAAGTGAATGGATCTCAATGAAATTTTACCATAAGGTTCAATACCACAAAATGAAGGTGGGGATTGATTTTGGGGGTTGTGGTACCAACAGTTAAGGAATTAGGGGCCAAAAATAAGCATTTTTGTAACTTCCAGACATAACTTATGTGTTAGTGTATGGATCTCTCTGACATTGTACCACAAGGTTCCATATCACAAAGGGAATGCTGGGATTGATTTTGGGGGTAATTGCCTCCAAATTTTAGGAATTGGGGGCCAAAAAGGGGCAAAAAAACAAGCATTTTTCTAGTTTCATGACAATTACTTGTGTGTAAGTCTATGGATCTCTCTGAAATTGTATCATAAGGTTCCATATCACAAAGGGAATGCTGGGATTGATTTTGGGGTAATTGCCTCCAAATTTTAGGAATTAGGGGCCAAAAAGGGGCAAAAAACAAGCATTTTTCTAGTTTCATGACAATAACTTGTGTGTGAGTGTATGGATCTTTATGAAATTGTACTACAAGGTTCCATATCACAAAGGGAAAGCTGGAATTGAGTTTGGGGGTAATTGCCCAAAAAGTTTAGGAATAAGGGGCCAAAAATAAGCATTTTTCTAGTTTCCAGACAATAACTTGTATTCAGGTGTATGGATCTCTCTGAAATTGTACTGCAAGGTACCATACCACAAAGGGAATGCTGGGATTGATTTTGGGGGTAATTGCCTCAAAATTTTAGTAATTAGGGGCCATAAAAGGGCAAAAAACAAGCTATTTTCTAGTTTCAGGACAATAACTTGTGTGTAAGTGTATAGATCTTTATGAAATTGTACTGCAAGGTTCCATATCACAAAGGGAAAGCTGGGTTTGAGTTTGGGGGTAATTGCCCTAAATGTTTAGGAATTTGGGGCCAAAAAGGGGCCAAAAAAACAAGCATTTTACTAGTTTCCAGACAATAACTTGTGTTCAAGTGTATGGATCTCTCTGAAATTGTACTGCAAGGTACCATACAACAAAAGGGAAGGCTGGGATTGAGTTTGGGGGTGATGAATCATAAGGGGGTTCAAAAAATTTGGGGGGGGGGGGATTTTTTTTCCATTTTTTTTCTTTAAAATTTTCCATTTTAAATTGGTTATTTCTGATTTATATATAAAAGCAAATTATAATGATATGGTTTGAATAGGTAAATTAAAAAATATTTAAGTTCTTAGACCACTTTCATTCTGTGTCAGAAACCTATGCTGTGTCAAATATTTAATTACAATCCAAATTCAGTGCTGTATCAAGCTTGAATGTTGTGTCCATACTTGCCCCAACTGTTCAGGGTTTGACTTCTGCGGTCGTATCAAGCTGCGCCCCAGCGGAGCATTTTATTAGCTTAGTTTTTAATGAATTGAACCAGAGATTTGGCTTCTGTCATAACAACTTTCTTCTCAATAAAATTGGGTCATTTGTACTAGTACAGTCTGATTAAGCTATGCAAACCTCATTTGTAGAATAGATTCATTGGATCAGTAATTTGTAGAACTACATTTTGTATAAAGACATGAGATAATCATTTATCAGTATCCTGTGAATATCCATTCTCTTTATATATATGTCTATTAAAAGTCAACCAAAATACTCAATTTTACTTTTCTAATATTGTTGCAGGCAAAAATACAATTCCTATTTATGAAGTAAAGCATTCCCATCTTCAAGCAAGATCCTTATTTACAACAAACCAATGTTACAATACAGAGGACACACAAGAAGCAGAGGTAGAGGAGGATTATCATTCTATTATTAAAGATACAGAAAGATCTAAAGGTAAGATAATGGAAGGTCATTCAGGATATTGTTAAAGGTCGCATGGTGAAAACTCTAGAAATTCATTGTATACAGGTACAAGGTATAGGCCTCTTGTTAAGTCTGTCTGTTTCTAACGTTCATACATTATAATGAAATTTCATATTCTAAGACAAGCAAATGTGAATCAAAGGAGGCTGAATTACATGTAAGTTATTTTTCAATTTTTGGCTTATCAGAACAAAAAATTACTTATAATACAAGTTCTCTAATTTTCATGCTAATTTCACATTTCTCGATCGATGAGAGAAAAACATTTCTCATCTTTACGGAAAACTTTGTTCTTGGAAAATAATTGATTGAAATTTAATTATGACGTCAAATTTTCTTGGTTTCTTCTGAATTTCTTATTGTGACATCATGAAAAAAGGCGACCATGCCTGATGACGTCACATTTAAAGAACACAACTTTCTGCAAATCTTTGAAAAGGAAGGATAAACTTTTTTTAAGATATCCTATAAAATCATTAGAGAAACAGATTCCACCACTATAACTTGTGTATAAAATATTTCTCCACTCTCAACAGTTAAATTTTAATTATTGAAAAAGCTCGGCAAGCCTCAGGCTTTAAATATTAAAATTTAACTGTCTCGAGTGGAGAAATATCGTAACATACTTGATGCAGTGGTGGAATCTATATTTAAATATCAGGCAACACAGGAAAAAATTCCAAATCAGTTTTAGAAGAAGTACATTATGTATGATATCAGATTACAAAGTCAAGCAATGGGGTTGTAATGAAATTTAAAACTTTTAGGTTTTTTTTGCCATTACTGTACATTTTTAACATTATGTGGTATCACTGCATTATGGATTTCTCTATTGTTTAGTATTTGCTTCTTTTTTTTTAAATGTACAGGTCCATTTGACGCCTAAGTTAATTTTACGATAATATCTATAAATTCAGGAGTTTATTTCTTCTTTTTATCAACCCCTTAGACCTTTTTGGTTAAAAAGCATCTGAAAATAGTTTTAGCTTTTGCTTTTTTATAAAAAAAGCAGGTAGAAATATAGACAAGTTTTAATTTATAAATGCTAATTTCATGAAAATGATATATTATTATTGTTATAATCTTTAGTTATATGAATTAAAAGATGTACAGATTTTTGTTGACAGGACCATCAGATAAACATGAATTTCAAGCAGAGACAAGGAAGTTATTGGACATTGTTGCCCGATCTCTTTACTCTGAAAAAGAGGTAAGAAGGCAAATATAGAAATACATGGTCGAAGAAAGTATTGAACTATTGTGATTTTAAACTGCTACTTTCCCTTATTTCATGAATCAAACAGCTATAACGTCAAGCTTTCATTGTTGGCCTTAGTGAATATCAGTTTTTCTAAGCTCAATTCAACCACATATTTACTGAGAAAAATGACAGTGAATGTTTTATTCCATATTCCAAGAGGAAAACACTTATTTTAATGACAATTATTTATCAAAACCAATTGTAAATTGAACACTTTACCTTAATTATACATGTAAAAGCATGTGATATTTAGTGCAGTGAATATCATTTTTTCTTTGGGTGAGTATGCTGTTTTTTTCAAAATCCAACTCCTCTAGAAAAACCTACTAAAAATACTACTATAGAATGAATACATTTACAGGTGTTCATCAGAGAATTAATATCTAATGCCAGTGATGCTTTAGAGAAGTTACGATACATACAGGTGACAAAACAAGAAGCCATTACAGACGATCTATCTTTAGAGATTCATATCGCTACTGATGAGGAAAAGAAAACGTTAACTATACAGGTTTGGTTTCCCTTATCAATATTGTTAGTCATTTATTGCTTAACTTATTAAGCTTAACATAGGGCAGGACATTGTGAAAATGACATATTTCTTGAAAAGACACAGGCAAAATGGACATACAAAATTATTATCACTCAGCACTTGCACACATAGTGTATGATTTGATATGAATAATCTCTCATTCTTTCACAATTGTCAAAAAAATAAAAAATGGTACAACACAGGAAAGAGTAAAAGCTTAATTTGAAATTAGTCTAATTGGAAAAGAACATTAACCTTAACCTTTTTTAACCTTTTGTTTTCCATGCAGAAAACTTAGTAAAAAAACTACATGGAATACATGATATTGATTGCAGTATAATTAATATGTACATCTATGTGTTTAATTTACAATACTTTTAATAATGACGTAATTGCAAGTCTTTACACTAATAGAAATAAAAAAAATCACAGTAGCTATGATTTAAAAAAAAGCAAAAAAATGTGTCATTCTATATTGTCAGTGTTGGCATAATCATGATAATAGGGTCTTTCTAATTTTTGGGTAAAGTTTGGATGAAATGCAATCAACACCCTATGATACTGACTTGAAATCTATATCTTCCAAGGTTTATCACTACATTTTATAATTCAAACAAAATAGTACGGTGAAGTGATCATTAATTAGATCCTATCCAGTCATTGTCATGCAATTTATTGATGATTTGTTATACTTTGATATTTAAGTTACAATATGATGTGTATTTGAATTACCATACTAGTCAAGACATAATCAATGCATGGTGTATGAATCTGTTATAAAAATAGGTTCAACTACAAATGTATAATCATGAACAAAGGAAGATAACTCCCAACTCATTTTTTTAAATTTTCAAATTTTTAATTTGCCTAATTAAATTCAATTCAATATTTTATTTAAAAATTCACAAAATTGCAAAATGAAAGCAATCTTTACCCTTCAGTGTTCACAATCTATTCTTTTAAATATGTGCATGTGTGAAACTTTGCAAACATTAGGCCTTTTGATCTGATATTTGAATGCTGAATAGACAAGACATTTAGTTTAATGATAAATGACTCCCTATCTCATTTAGAAAAGCAGAAATGAGATAGATCATACGTATAGATTCTAGAGAACAACAGTCAATTGGTGCAAAATGGTACAACTGATGAAACTCGATCTAGACTCAAACAAATGAAATAAATCTGTAAATTAATAAAGTAAAATGATTTTGTTCACTTTTCCTCTTCATTTCAGGATACTGGAGTTGGTATGACCAAAGAAGAAATAATTGAAAACTTAGGTACAATAGCAAGGTCTGGTTCTAAGGTTTGTATACCTATGTATATATATATATATAGGTCAACATAAAAGCTTGAACTTTAATGTATTTTAAATGCTGTATATTCATAATTTCATGTGTAAGAATTTTTCGAAGATGTTGAGTATATATGAAAGAGACGGCAATCCAACTTATAACCAGAAATGAGGATTTTACTACATTTATAACCTTGAAGAACCCTCTTCAACGGACAATAATTCTTGATTATCTAGTGTGGTTATCCTACATATTTTGTAGATCATAACAAGCAAAAATCAAAACACCCGTTTAAATTATAGAAATTGTTATCCTGTCACCTTATTTGCATTATTGAAAACTTATTGTTGATTAACTAATTAAAATGATTTGAATTAGGAGTTTATTTAGATGAATTAAAAATAAGAATTTAATAGTTGAAATGTATTGACTCAAACGAAGGAAAATTGAGGTTTTTTTTCACAGGGACACAATGAAATCACATTTATAGGTAGGTTGATCTGTAATTAGAAGGGTCTTATAAAACATGATATTGTCTAATCTATTGTAGGCCTTTCTGGAGAATGTTGACCAAGGTAGCAGTGATGTTGCAAGTAATATCATTGGTCAGTTTGGTGTAGGATTTTATTCCTCGTTCATGGTTGCTTCAAAAGTGGAAGTGTTTTCTAAAACTTATCACCCAGACTCACCTGCTTATAAATGGTCATCAGATGGGTAAATATTTTATATTGATCACTAACATTCACCCAGACTCACCTGCTTATAAATGGTCATTAGATGGGTAAATATTTTATATTGATCACTAACATTCACCCAGACTCACCTGCTTATAAATGGTCATCAGATGGGTAAATATTTTATATTGATCACTAACGTTCACCCAGACTCACCTGCTTATAAATGGTCATCAGATGGGTAAATATTTTATATTGATCACTAACATTCACCCAGACTCACCTGCTTATAAATGGTCATCAGATGGGTAAATATTTTATATTGATCACTAACGTTCAAACCTGTATTGAGCAGTCACTCATGGGAAGTGTCAAAAGTGGACACTCGAGAGAAATGACCTTCTAAAAGATGTAAAAAAGAATTCCTTTTCTGACATCGCCCGTTACCTGGATCGCAGCAAATTTTTTTGGTGTTTTCAATCAGTGGAGTTATTGTTCTTGCATGCAGTGAATATAAAATGGTGAAGTCCGGCATTGTAAATTTGAAAACTTTCATATTCTAGGACAAATAAGTTTATGACATGATTTTAGATGGAAACTAAAAGGAGTGGAACACAAGGGATTCACTTATTCACCTACTGTGGGATCTTGGTTACACATGGGTTCCCATCCTTTTTTTGACTTCGATACTGAACACATATATTTTCTGTCAAGATTATATGGGTAGTTAAAAACATTAAGATGACCACTGTTTTAAGTTGAAATAATGATTTTGTGAGAAAATTAGGAGACTGCTGATTGTGGTAGACAGGTGAATGCTGAAAAGAGATAAATTATATATAAAAAAAAACATTTAGGAGGATCTGTATATGACTGTTAAAGGCAGGTGACCACTGAATCAAGGTGACCGTTAAGGCAGGTTTGACTGTATTTTCATATTATTTAACTAATCTCAAATTGTTCATTAATTGTCAGTTAGTTGGACTGTTATAAATGCTTCAAATAAAAGTCAAATATTATTAACTTGCTATTTATAAAACAATTTAATTTGCTTGATTGACATTTATCAGGATTGTTCATTTCAGATCATCTTTGCCTGGAAGAATTGGTACCCTAGTTTTTGTGATGAAATTTTTAATTTAACAATATCAATGAGAAAACATGAATGATGATCAAGGGTCTGGAAACGGTCATATATGCCAGTCATGTCCTAAGATGAAACTATTTGTCCTAAATGAGTAATTGGGATTTAGGACAAATTTTATTTTTTTAAAGAAGTAATTAAGGTCATTTCATTGACTCAATGTTTGAAATCGGATTTCTTAATCGCTATTTTGCACTGTCTTGTGTAAGTTGTTATCACTTGTTTTATGTTTATAATCCCTTTCCTGTAATAAAACTGCCACTCCAGTTGTTTGATAATCCTGAGGGCCCTCCTAATATCTATATCAATGCCTGCTGGAAACATTGGGTAATGATCGCTAATCACTTTTTACCTGTGGTTTTAATTCACTCCTGACAGTGATCACAAACTCAGAATAATATTTTAACAGAAATTGAAATTCCCTGACAAGTGTATTCCTTTTTTTTCATTATTTAATTACTTTTCAGCAAAGACAATCATCAAATCTGATTTAAAAATTAAACCTAAATTTACGGAGAAAAAAGTATTTTTTCATGTGCTTTATTTACTATATAATACGCATGCGTAAAATTGTCCTCAGCAAATTTAATATTTAATCATAAAATGCAAATTGATTTCATGCTAAATTAAACGAGTGCAAATGTTGCCTGTTACATTCAAACACTTTTAAAGGTAATAGAATAAAAAAGCCATAAAAAGCCTGTGATTTCCTGTCAATTTGATAAACAAAACAAATCCCAGAAATGAATCCAGAATTATTCGTACTTTAACTTTATCGACAAATTCCGGTTTTAACTTTTGTCAAATCGAAAGAAACGTAAGCAATGTCAGAGAGATTTACCATTTTGAGTCATTAAAATCATTTCAATTTTAAACTATTGCCTTCCCTAAAATGTTCTTCATGGAAATGGTAAGACATTTACTTAGTAAATGCGATGAAACAGCAATACAAGTTCGTTGATGCTATGAATCTAGTCAAGTTGACATCGACAATTTGGAAAGGGGCACCAACTTTTCAATCATCTCAAAATGACCGAAATTGTGTGGAAAAATTTCCAGATCCTTGATGATGATACCTGATGCTCTGACCAGAACATTGTTTTGAAATCTATTTAAAATTTACACTCAATATTAATTTGCTTTTGTAGAACAGGATCCTATGAACTTTCAGAAGCTGAGTCTGTTGACAGAGGAACAAAAATTGTACTACATCTGAAGGGAGACTGCTATGATTTTGCTAAAGAAAACATTGTTAATGGTAACTAATTTATGTTGATACATTAATGGCTAAGATTTCTACAAAGAGAAATTAATCTTATATATCCAGGCTTTACTTAAAGCTTAAAGCTGGACAATAGAGACACCTATTTTTAGCTCACCTGGCCCAAAGGGCCAAGTGAGGTTTTCTCATCACTTGGCTTCTGTCGTCGTCGTCGTCAACTTTTTACATTTTGAACTTCTTCTAGAGGACCACTGAATGGAATGTAACCAAACATGGCATGCATGTTCCTTATGAGGTGCTGACCAAGTGTTGTTACTTTGTAGCCGATCCATCATCCAAGATGGCCGCCAGCGGGGGACTTAGTTTAACAAAGGACCCTATGGGACATACATACAAATGTCTTCTTTTAGAGAACCACTGAATGGAATTAAACCAAACATGGCATGAATGTTCCTTATGAGGTGCTGACCAAGTGTTGTTACTTTGCAGTCGGTCCATCATCCAAGATGGCTGCCAGCGGGGAATTAGTTTAACATAGGACCCTATGGGACATACATACAAATGTCTTCTTTTAGAGAACCACTGAATGGAATGCAACAAAACATGGCATGAATGTTTCTTATGAGGTGCTGACCAAGTGTTGTTACTTTGCAGTCGGTCCATCATCCAAGATGGCCTCCAGTGGGGGACTTAGTTTAACATTGAACCCTAAGGGAAATACATACAAATGTCTTCTTTTAGAGAACCATTGAATGGAATGAAACAAAACATGGCATGAATGTTCCTTATGAGGTGTTGACCAAGTGTTGTTACTTTGCAGTTGGTCCATCATCCAAGATTGCAGACAGCAGGGGACTTAGTTTAACATAGGACCCTATGGGAAATACATACAAATATCTTCTTTTAGAGAACCATTGAATGGAATGAAACCAAACATGGCATGAATGTTCCTTATGAGGTGCTGACCAAGTGTTGTTACTTTGCAGTTGGTCCATCATCCAAGATGGCCGACAGCGGGTACTTAGTTTAACATGGGACCTTATGGGAAATACATACAAATGTCTTCTTTTAGAGAACCACTGAATGGAATGAAACCAAACATGGCATGAATGTTCCTTATGAGGTGCTGACCAAGTGTTGTTACTTTGCAGTTGGTCCATCATCCAAGATGGCTGACAGCGGGTACTTAGTTTAACATGGGACCTTATGGGAAATACATACAAATGTCTTCTTTTAGAGAACCACTGAATGGAATGAAACCAAACATGGCATGAATGTTCCTTATGAGGTGCTGACCAAGTGTTGTTACTTTGCAGTTGGTCCATCATCCAAGATGGCTGACAGCGGGTACTTAGTTTAAAATGGGACCTTATGGGAAATACATACAAATGTCTTCTTTAAGAGAACCACTGAATGGAATGAAATTAAACATGGCATGAATGTTCCTTATGAGGTGCTGACCAAGTGTTGTTACTTTGCAGTTGGTCCATCATCCAAGATGGCCGACAGCGGGGGACTTAGTTTAACATAGGACCTTATGGGAAATACATACAAATGTCTTCTTTTAGAAAATGACTGAATGGAATGAAACCAAACATGGCATGAATGTTCCTTATGAGGTGCTGACCAAGTGTTGCTACTTTGTTGCCGATTTACTGTTCAAGATGGCCACCAGGATATTTTATTAAATAATGGGTCCAATATTAAACCAAATTTGGCCTCAATCATTATTTTGTATCTGTTATGATTTTTATCTACCTTTACATGATTTCTAAAACCAAAGTAGAGTCAGGTGAGCGACACAGGCTCTTGAGAGCCTCTAGTTCAACTCGAAATTAATATTTTACTACCGTAAGTGTTGAGGGGAAAAAAGATACATCTCGTGAAACTTATACACAATGCTTATTTCCACAAAACTCAGATCAAGTTCGAATTTGGGTGGTGTCACTTTTACTGTTCTTGAGTTATGCCTCTTTATAATGTTATATGCAAGCGGATACATCATCTGTGTCCCATGGATAGCGGTCTTTTTCGTAATTGCAAAATATAGGACAGTAAAAAGCTACATGTATTTGAACCTAGCTTAATACAATTTGCATTTACTTTATGAAATAGGAATCTTTAAATTCAATATTTAAATATAATTAATTGTAGAATAAATTTATTTACTGGAAAGCTATTAATAAGCAATAGTTATTGCCTTAGAGAATTGACCAATCCATTGAATGAGTTGCAATGCATGATGGACTACTACGTACTTTATCGAGAACACATGTGTTTTTCAGTGGCCTACAACTCACCTTTTCTTCTTTTTGTGTCTACGTTTAATAAAGCATTATTTGTATGCTCAGATTAAAATAACAAACAGTGAGCTGATGAACAGTAACACCTGATAATTTGTAGTTTAATACGTCAACAAATCCCTGTAACAGTGTTATAACCTTTGTGTTACAATTTTTTGAAGAATCTGAGTTTTTACGTTTTATTATGCCATATCTGAGTATTAGAACTTCATATATGTAAATATTAGTTCTTTTTGAAAACTTGCAAATAATACAAGAAATGAAATAATGGGTAAAAAGAACTTTTTTAAATAGTATGAAAAATGTTTGACTTGTAAATAAATGTTATTTGATTTGAAACTAGTACTGTATTATATTCAAACAACACATCTTATGTGTCTGTATTTGATGTAATCTAGTACATATTACTCTTTCTATTTCAGATGTTATTAAGAAATACAGTAATTTTCTTGGTGTACCGATTTTTCTTAATGGACGCAGAGCAAATATAATTCAGGTAAGCCTATACTATAAAACAATTTTAAGCAAAAGAATTAACAAAAAAAAATTTCATATTTAATTGCTTAATGTAAGCATAAGGCTTGGGAACTTAGTAATTTTCAGCAAAAAGTTTCAAAATATCTTTGGAGTTTGCTATTGAGGTTGTGCAGCTTCCATTATGAAGTTGTTAAAAGATTTTTCCCATTTTCCCATTTGATATTTTCATATATTTGAATATTCAGTATATATCATTCGCCATTGTTTGATAAACGATCTGTGCAGCCCAGCCATGTGATTTTGTGGTCTATTTTTAACATTTCACATCATATTGGATGTTTGATAAGTGGGGTCACTTTGTTTACTAATTACAGCTTTTGATGCCGCTGAACTTAGTACAAAATGTGATAAGATAGAAAAACAAAAGATATGGGGTATCCATCCATGACACAAAATCAGTACATGCACAGCAAAAAAACACAGAAAAAGCAAAGGAACTTTTATTGCTGTTCTTCATCTCAAAGTCACAGTGAGGCCTTCAACCAGGAGAAAAAAAAACTCTCACCTCACTGCAAGGTTAAGACAGCCCCTAGCACTGGTTTGAGCCAAATTTCTTCTTTTATCTATAGGCTCTATGGATGATGGATCAGAAAGACATTACAGAAGATATGCACCATGAATTCTACAGATTTACCACTAATTTATATGACTCACCTAAATACCACTTACAATATAAAATAGATGCTCCACTTAACATTAGAGCATTGTTTTATGTACCTGACCATAAACGTAAGTAATAGTAACAAATACGTGTCATTCAAGATTTTTCTTGTAAAGGTCTCTGAGTTCCATGTATTCATCTACATGTCTCGTATTGTTAATTCTAAAGTTAGTAGAGCATGAAAAATAAGGTGGTATCAACGGGGAAAACAAATCATAAATTATTTGTTTGATGTGTTTCAGCTTTTGATTTTGCCATTTGATAAGGGACCTTCCCATTTGAATTTTCCTTGGAGTTCAATATTTTTGTTATTTTACTTTTTATGTGTGCCACAATGACCAAATGGAAAACTATAATCCTTTAAACATTATTATAGAAATAAAAAGAGTAATATTTTCCCAGTAATTACTGGAGGTAAAATCAGGTGCTTTGGAGTGTTAATCAGTTCTTGCTCCACTAATGCCTAATATACACAATTTTAGACATCAATATTCAAAAATCAAAATACTTTTAAATATCTGTCATGTCTGTGTTCTACTAATAAGTTGTAAAATATCCTGAATAATGTTTATAGAGAAAATATATATTTCCAGCATTACTATAGATATACCAAAACACCAAATTGATTTTGCTTTACATTTCATTTCAAATTATCAACATGAACTGCTGACAGTTTTATACGTACTGTACACATTGAAAAATGAATGTTGTATATTAAAAATAATAAATTTGAATTCAATTTAAACAATGTAATTATTTTTACTTTTTAGCTACTTTTGATTTGAGTCGGGAATCCGATGTTGGGATTTCATTATACAGTCGTAAAATTATGATCATGTCCAAGGCTAACAACGTTTTGCCAAGGTGGCTGAGATTTGTTAAAGGTACGATTTAACATAAATACATTAGATGTGTATTTGGAGAAAATTTTGAATTGTTCAGGAAAAAAATGTTCTGTATTTCCTTTCCAGATTGTTTTAAAAGATGTTTCATATCTGAAGCTGAAAGCTATTTCCTACTAAGGTTAATGTTTGTATCAGCTTCAACTCGAGTTTTAAGATCTTGATTAACATGATTAAAAGATTTATAAAATCAATGTAATTTTGATGTGTTTTTAAATGTCATTGTCAGGAAGAGGATCTTATTTATGTTTATCATTTATTTTTGGTGATGGAAATAATAAATTTTAAGGTAGTGTTATAAAAATTCTGTACAATTGTACTATATAAGCTTATGTATGCTCTTACAATTCTATGATATATATGTATGTATTTATAGGTGTGGTAGATAGTGAAGATATTCCATTGAACTTGAGTAGAGAATTGCTGCAGGACAGCGCTCTTATCAGGTAAGTTTAATAAATCTAGATTTAACTATCAAAACCCTATGGTACTGAGGGCTGTTCCAGAAAATACTATGTCCCCCCCCCCCCCCAGGGACGGCACTTTTTTTTTAACCCCCACCACCCACAGAAAAAAAAATAAATTAGAACAACACTCCCTTTGCATTTTGGTATTTCAAATACAACCACCCACATAAAATTTAAAAAAATTGGCTTCCCTGGGGGGGACATAGTATTTTATGGAACAGCCCTGACTTGATATCTATATCTTCCAAGGTTTATCACTACCTTTGATAGTTTAAACAAAATAGTGCAGTGCAGTGATCATTATTTAGATCCTATCCAGTCAATATCATGCTATTTATTGATGATATGTTATACTTTATTATTTAAGTTACAATATGATGTGTATTTGATTTACAATACTTATAAAAATAGGAGATGTGGTATGATTGCCAATGATACAACTATCCACCAAATATAAAGATAGGTTTCACTTACAAATGTACAATCATGAACAAAGGATGATAACTCCAACTTGAATTTTTAATTTGCCTAGCAAATTACAATTCAATGTTTTATTTAAGAATTAACAAAATTGCAAAATGAAAGAAATCTTTCCCTTTCAGTGCTCACAAGCACTTTGATTAGTTTTTTGTCTCACCTGCTACAAAGTGGCAAAGGGAGTCTTAGGTTTTCTGTTTTTGGGATTGGCTGCATCAACAATTTGTAAAAGCTTTGTGATTAGATCAGTGTATGGGGAGCCATGAATGGTAAGTCAGTGATATTTGGTATACATTTGTATAAGCATTGGCAAATCCAATTTTCATGGAGATTATTAAACCTGACCTTCAGTCATGGTCTATTGACTGAAATTTTTCCATAGTGAAAACGTTAAAGTTTTGCCCATGTAATTTCTTCATTTTCATTTCACTATACAAATAAAATACAGGCAAGGCATATCTCTGTGTCAGCAGTTTATACAAATTTCATGGTTGATTTCCACATCTAAATTGATTGATTACATAATCAGATATAAGAAATAATTTTGAAATGCAAATATACAAGTCCAAAATAACAATAACAAAGCCCTGTGATTAAATATGTCATGTTTAAATGTTATCTTCATACTCAATGTTTGCCTTCAAATATGATCATTTCTAAACATTTACTGGAAAGTTTTTAACCAAAACATAAAAAAAACTTGCGTATTTCTTTTGTCAATTAAGATTTACTTTTTTTGTTAACAGGAAACTAAGGACAGTTTTAACGACCAGGCTATTAAAGTTTTTCCAGGACCAATCAAAGAAGGATCCTGAAAAATATATGAAGTTTTATGAAGATTATGGTCTATTCTTCAGAGAGGGTATAATTACCACCCATGAACAGGAACAGAAGGTTAGATCATTTTAAAAAAAGTTTTTACAAATTCTTTTTTACCTCTAGATCTGTAATAAGTAATTAATTGTAATATAAAGTTTATTAAAGGATAGTTTGTCAAAACTATGATTCATTAGTTGTTATGAAAATAAAACATAATGATTGTTTGATGGTTGCTTACCGTCCAATGGCAAATATTTCATGCATATTCAGGCAACCATGATATTGTATTGTTCTATCATGATTGATGCTAATTGTAAAAATTGTAATTGATTGACAGTTAGAGCATTATGCTTTAATGCTTTAGCATTATATGTATCTGTAGTAATAGAATAACTAATCCTAGAATTGGAATATATAAATATGCTATATCTCATTATAATGGGGCATTAAATTTGATGTCCTGAGTAGGGAGAGCACCACAGTTTGCACGATTAAAACCTTTGCAACAAACAGGGAGGTCCTGTAGCAAGTAAATATTTCAATGGAAGTCCCAAATGGTCTGCTATTCATCCAGGTAGATGTTTTCCTAAAACCAATATTGGGATAATGTTTCAGGAAGATGTAGCAAAGTTGCTGAGATTTGAGTCCTCTAAGTTACTTCCTGGTGAAGTAGTTAGTTTGGCTGAATATGCAACTAGAATGAAGGCTGGTGCCAGAAATATATACTACCTGTCTGCTCCAAGGTATGTAGATTTAGTAAAGCAATAGCTATTTTATGTTTAAAAAATCCAGACTGTTGTTGTATTTACAAATATATTTATATAAGTATAACTTTATAGAAATTCTGGCTTATCTTGTTGATCCCTAGTTTATGATCACGATTTGGTGTAGTGTTGATTACTTCTGACATTGTAATTCAACAATAGCTGTATTGACTTCTGTACATTAAAGGATATCCAGGGTAATTTTTCGTTATGAGCATTTTCAGAATAAATATAAATGTATGTAATTTCTTTTGTTTATGTACAAAAATGAAAATGGTGTTGCACCATTAGTTGGATATATATTGCTCAGAGTGTTGTTTACCAAGTACATCTTTTTGGTGAAGGTTTTTGAAAAAATTCTAATAATGTATTAGATTCTCAAACAGTATATTGTTAACTTAATCATATTAGTATTACAAATAACAATCCCAAACAACAAAAATACAGTCCATGGAAACACAATACAGGGATCTCCATGGGTGAAAATTTGACCATGGAGGAGGCTCTAACCAGGGCAAAACCCTGTGTGTCTAGATCGTAAAATATCGTTCCTGCATTTTATTGTACTGAATACTGTAAATTCAGAACTTATTGCGAGGTTTTAAAGAAGGTTCAATACCACAAAAGGAAGGTTGGGATTGATTAAGGGGATGATGGTCCCAACCATTTGGGAATTGGGGGCCCAAAAGGGGCCAAAAACAAGCATTTTTCTAGTTTCAGGATATTAACTTGTGTATAAGTATTTTGATTGCTCTGAAATTGTACCACAATGTTTAATACCACAAGTAGATGGTTGGGATTCATTTAAGGAGTTATGGGGCCAACAGTTTAGGAATTAAGGGCCAAAAAGGGGCCAAAAACAACATTTTTTGTAGTTTCCGGACAATAACTTGTGTGTAAGTGTATGGATCTCTCTGACATTGTACCACAAGGTTCCATATTACAAATGGAAGGCTGGGATTGAGTTTGGGGATAATTGCCCCAAACTTGTAGGAATTAGGTGCCAAAAAAGGGCAAAAAACAAGCATTTTTCTAGTTTTCCCGACAATAACTTGTGTTTAAGTGTATGGATCTCTCAGAAATAGTACTACAAGGTTCCATACTACAGAGGAAGGATGGGATTGAGTCTTGGGGTAATTACTCCAAGGTGGGTTTCCAAAAGTTTTTTTTTTGGGGGGGGGGGGGGGGGGGGGATTTTTTTTCCAATTTTTAAGGAATTCATATTTTTTTTCAAAAATTTTCATATTTCAAATTTTTGAAAAGTTTTAAGAAGAAATCTACAATTGCGCAGTATTGGGCAGGAGATTTGTAAGATCTTTGACCACATTTATTTTGTGTCAGAAACCTTTATTATGTCAAAAATTTGATCACAATCAAAATTCAGACAGGGGCTGAATATTGTATCCAAATTTGCCCCAACTGTTCAGGGTTGGACAACTGCGGTCGTATCAGGCTGCGCTCAGCGAAGCATTTTATTGCAAAATGTTTAAAACAGATTTGTGGAGGGGAAAAGTTTAAAACTGAAATGGTTTTAAGGACTTAAAATTGCAAATTCCACAGTAATAGACTATGCAACATGCATCATTCGATTCTGAATGTAAACTCGATGTATTGATTTGATTGTAAACTACGAAATGAATTCGGAATTACGATACAAAATTTCTTCAGATTATCAAGTTGTAGTTAATATTCAAGTATTTGCTTTTAAACTACTAAAGTGATTCATTATGATAGATCATTGTTGTTATTTGGCATGAAATAATGTTCTGTTTTATGATTAAGAGTATAAACTTGTACTTGTTTAAAAAGGGGGATTCTGATTGTGTTAATCAATAAAAGCATTTGTTCAACTTTTTTCTTTGAAATTGAATTTCATTTTTTAATTTAAATTTTCATCAGCATTTGCTGAAAAGTAATTAAAATAATGCAATTAATCGTCTCTCTTTAGCAAATGTTCTCCTGTCAGGTGTCTCGAACTTCCTGTACAAGTGATTAGCGATTGTTAGCCGGATATCTCTCAGGGCTTTAAAACGGTAATCAGGTGGACCCTTTGGTTTATAATACAATAGAGGTTATGCAATTACATGCAAATGATTATAATTGCTTACAAAAATGGCTGCAGAAAGAGAAGCATTGTTTCGTATAACAGTTTAAACCTATAGTGTTGTTCTACCATTTTTACCATGTTATTGCTATCAATTGTAAACAATGTATAAGTGGTCTTCTGACACAGTTTAGTAGCCACTTTTTGATTGGACATTTTAGGAAAATCACATCATTTTACCTTGCTTTTATATATGAATTTTTTTAATGTCTTATTACAGTCGACAGCTGGCAGAGACTTCTCCATATTTTGAAGCTCTACAGAAAAAAGACATTGAAGTGTTGTTTTGTTATGAACCTTATGATGAACTTGTATTAATGCAACTTGGCCAGTTTGATAAAAAGTATTTAAAATCAATAGAGAATGAAATTCAGGAATCAAAGGAGGATACAGACACTGTTGATGAAAAAGATCCTCAAAGTCTGAGTCAAACAAACGCTGATGAACTTATGTCATGGTTAGGAGTCATTCTCACGAACAAAGTACAGAAAATCAAGGTATATTATTACCTCATAGTCACAAAATTAGACAAACAAAGTTTCCCAAACTAAATAAACATAAATTTAATCCTTCACCAACAGCTATACATTTATATGAAAATAACATTTTGCTAATCGATGATTCCTTTTAGTTCAAATAAGAAAGAACATATCAATTATCGTTGATACTAATAAGTCTTTTTCTAATGTCTGATGGTTAGATATGTACCTCTATGAGCCAAAAAAGAAAAAGAAAAAAACAACACTAAAAGTATTTCATTCATACAGAAAAAAAACCTTCCAGGACAGAGAGATAAGAAAGTCTGGACAAATTAGACAACCAACACAGAAAATTACAAATATATTATGTTATGACTTAGAATCTTCTTTTTGTTAACTGGTGAATTGATGTGCATTAGTACAATATTTCTGCTGCATTTAATTCAATTTTACATAGCATCTACATGATTTTATGTTAATAAATGGCAGTTTTGAAATTTCGTAAACATGTACAAAATTTAGGCAAGTGTTTGTCTATTTCAGACAAGTAATATGTCATGTTCACTTGCCCGAATTTCAAGTTGTCAAAACAGTTAATGTCGAACCCTAAACAGTAGTATATTTGTTTGGCTAACTTCATTTAAGAGTCTAAGGAAACTAAAATGTTTTTAAGTTTGATTTAGACTTAAATAAGTAGATTTTTTCATTTAATTATTTTTTCCTCTTACAGGTAACAAAAAGATTATCCTCACATCCTTGCATTATCACAGTGGCTGAGATGGGAGCAGCAAGACATTTTCTAAGAACAACACTGGCAGATAAATCACAAGATGAACGATACAGACTACTACAACCGACACTGGAAATTAATCCCAGGTAAGACAGATTATAGGAATTGACAAACAGGAAGTGTAGCCAAGAGAAATTGTTGGTAATAAGTAATCATGTAGAAATAACCATGGTTATATTGCATTTAAGTTATAATTAAACAATTTTACCTGGAACTTGTATGAAAGTGTTACATAGCTTAAAATACATTTCAGTTATCTCCATTCTAATGCAATATAAACAAAGCATTCAATTTAAGACATAATTTCAGTGTAAAAATCTCATATATATGTATGTATTGAAAATTCTGCTAAACATTGTTCTCATCTCTGGAACCTTAACATTATATGCTATCATATATATGATTCCATCATCAATCATAAACATTTAAAGGCTTTATGTATACTTCAGCATGAAATAAAATTTAAATGAATAGAAGATTATCAGATGATACAGCTGATTATTTTTTTATCATTGAAGAAATCACATATAAACAGTAAATTCCAGAATTCAAAATTAGAGCTTTCCTTAGATACAAACTGGAAAAGCATGAATTTTACCTCCTCAAAGTATATGATGATGTCCAACTATAATCATGATTACAAATTAAGTGCATTTGAATACTTTTAATGTTGTCAATTTTCAATACAACAAAAAATGAAACCAAAAAACTGTAGAAAAATATTTGCCACCATGTTAATTGTTAGAAAAATAGAATAAATAGAAAGACAATCAGTACATTTGAAAAATTGTCCTTTTCAGAGAGTGTTAATATTTTAATTTCATATGAAGTTAACAATTTCAGAAATATTACATGAAAATTGTCATCAACTTTTAAGTTCATAGATCTATGTGTAAAATGTATAACAAACACAAAAACCGTATTTATCATTGGAGTTTTTTTTAGCGGAGATTCTTTCTGGTAAACAGGATATAATCAAAATTAAATAATTTTCCATTACCTTACAAATGCATTATACATTTATGTTCAATAATTTCCTAAAGTATGAATTGTACACAAATTTTGTTGCTTTTTCTGGCATCTCTAAAATATAGATATAATAATAAATAAAAATATACATGAACTGTTTTCTACTGGATATTAAGAAAACAATCACCAATCAATCTAATCAGCTAAGTAATAGTTGATATCACTGTAAAAAAAAATAACTGTATAATTTCATATTTTTCAGTCATAAATTGATCAGAAAACTGTTCTTACTTAAAGAGAGTGATCCAGATTTGGGGAGATTACTGGCTGAGCAGGTAAGTTTGTAAATAATATAACTTTATCCTACAATTGACCTTTCTACTATACTAATACATGAAGCGATATTTGTATACTAGACGTATATAGTCTCCTGATATCCTGCTTCTGTTGCGAGCAAATGGTTATGTCAAATAACTGTTTACGTCACAGTTCAATTTGGGGTCCTCATTGCGGTCCGCGTTTACATCATGTCGATTTCTTTCAAAAACAAATTGAAAGATTGGGTTGGGAAAAAAAATGTATAAAATTAATTGCAGGATAAAGACAATAACTGTTTAGTGTCTTTATTAAAATATCAGCTGTATTTGTACTCAGCTTGAAACTGGAGTAATAGCTCGCTGAAGCTTGCATTACACCTGTTTCTTAGCCTCGTACAAATACAGCTGATTTTAAAGACACTAAACAGTTATTGTCTATATATTTGATATCTTTATGGGTCAACATGCAATGAATTTACAAATACCATAAGCATAGTATTTTAATTATAGCCCTTCAGTCGAAAAAGTGCCTGAAAGTTATTCAGCAATGAGCATGATGAGTAGAAATCCATCTATATTTCTTTTTTTACATAAAAATTTTTTAAAAGTTCTTAACCAAATGCATAAACAATACAGTCTTAGTTGGTTCACACAACAACCTCTAGTTGACCTGCAATAATTCAGATGGATATCAGTTTACATCTAGAAACTTTGCACTAAAAGTTTAAGGTTAAAACTAAATTTTATGTTTACAAGATCATTTTTTGTTAGAGTTGTATTTCTCAGACGATAGGTAATATGTCATATTTAGTTTGTATTAGTACGGTATGTATTTTATCAAAAGTATGCCACTTTGACCTTTATTTCACACTTCATTGACATTTTATTAAGTTCTTCCATACTTAATAACCTGATACGAGTATTATGTACTGACTTAGATACTGTTAAGTGGTTTATTTTAGCAGGTATCCAAATGCCAAACTTTTTTGCAAGGTTTTATTTTTCAAGTTTTTCTGATCTGACTTAAAGATAAGATTGATGTGATTTTGTCTTGGCCAAATAAAACCTGTCACAAAATTTACCTGCTTTACAGTATGTATAAGGCCTGTGGATCAACTTACGAGAAAGGAGTAATATACAGCCATTAGCTTTGTGTTTGAACTAGGAATGTTTTTTCATATTTGTTTCAAACAAAACAACACTTAAAAATTGTTCAATTAAGAATTATTGAAATAATGCATGTATGACCTTAACTGTTTTTAAAAAATCAAACCACAACACTATATTTAAGATGAACCTTGTTACAGTGATAGATTTGTCAATGTTAAGAATTCATAATCCTTGATATGTGTGTTGTTATTTTCTTTGATTTTATATTTCAGTTATATGAGAATGCAATGATCGGGGCAGGACTTTTGGATGATCCACGTGTAATGGTTGGACGACTTACTGAACTTTTAGAAAGAGCTTTGGATAAAGTTTAATATAGATTTTAATATTGTTTGTCACTTTGCTATGAAAAATAAATAGAGTAACTCAAATATGATTAATTATTAAAAAATTGTGTTTAAAGACTGGTCATCTGACTGTAAACAGATTGGATTGCGCTTGATTTTCATATGATGAAGACATAATCTTTCAATCAGTTTAATTGAGGTCTAGAGCTGGCATGTCAGTAACTGCTAGTAGTCCTTTGATAATTTATGTATCATTGTCATTTTGCTTAGTTTCTTTTGTTACCTATTCTGACATCGAACTCGGACTTCTTTTGAACTGAGTTTTACTGTGGGTATTGCTGTGTGTTTGTTTTTTATACGACCGCAAAAATTAAAAAAATTTTGGTGGTATATTGGTATCACGTTGTTAGCGTTGTCAGCGTCGTCCGAAGACAGATGGTTTCCGGATAATAACTTTAGTATAAGTAAATAGAAATGTCCATTTTGGCCCCAACTTTTCAGGGTTGGACATCTGCGGTCGTATCCAGCTGCGCTCAGCGAAGCAATTTATTCTACTTTGGCTAGAGGTACAGGGGGAGGGTTGAGATCTCACAAAACATGTTAAAACCCGCCGCATTATTGCGCCTGTCCCAAGTCAGGAGCCTCTGGCCTTTTTAAGTCTTGTATGATTTTTAATTTTAGTTCATTTATGTTTTGGAGTTTAGTATGACGTCCATTATCACTGAACTAGCACACATTTTTGTTTAGGGGCCAGCTGAGGCACGCCTCCAGGTGCAGGATTTTCTGGCTGTGTTGAAGACCCATTGGTGGACTTCGGTTGTTTTCTGTTCTTTGGTCAGGTTGTTGTCTCTTTGACACATTCCCCATTTCCATTCTCAATTTTATCTTTCTATGAAATTCAGTTGAATATCTGTAAATGATTACAGAATATATTTTACATTTATTAAAACTTTCTAACTGTATTAACAAGAATCAAAAATTGATTGTATTTGTTGTGTTTTTCATTAATCACACAACATACGAATCACAGCTGGTTGCAGTTGTTGAGGTTGTGACTTTGAAGACCAGTCTACCCCACACAAAGTAACAACAACCATTTGTTTATAAAAATAAGGAGATGTGGTATGATTGCCAATGAGACAACTATCCACCAAAGTTCAAATGTAGTGGATATAAGCAATTATAGGCAACCTTTTGGCCTTCAACAATGAGAAAAACCCATTTTTCTTTTGTCCATAACAAGAAGGAATAAATCAATGGCAACATATATTTACGCAGTTGTCTCGTTGACTTACATCCCACATCTACTTGTACCTCATCTAACCAAATGGGTGGTATACTTTCACCTTGTCCATAATTTTGTTTCATTTAACTCAGATTAAGTATTGAGGCATTGGTAATTGGTCATATGATGAGTTGCACTGTATGTGATTTTCACATCTGCTGGGCAGTCACTTTCTGTTGGTAGATGCCTTGAATTTTTATAATATCTACTGAGCAATGGAATTTTCTTAGCTTCATTATAAAAGAATGATTTGAAATTTGTTTTCAACTTTATGATGATGGTTTGTACAGTCCAAATGATTTTCAGATCTGCTTGGCAATCACTTCCTGCTTGCAGATACTTTGAAATTCTATAATACTTATTGTGAATGGATTTTTTTTGTGGCATATTTCTAAGCTTATGTTTTTAGGAGTTATCTGATATTTGGTCTGGAACTTTATTGTGATGAGTTTTACTGTAATGTAATTGATTTTCAGATCAGCCTGGCATTCAATTCTTCTTTGATGATACTTTGATTTTTTCATGCCCACTTAGCATGTAGTTTTTTGTTGATGTCTAATAATGAGTGAGGTATAGTTTGCATGAGATTGCATTAAACTCCTTGTTTAAGCCTATTTTTTTACATTGATTACTCTCAAGAAAGCAGTAAGTATTTCAGTTTACAACATTCAATGTTTTATTACACAAGAGAAATATTTGAAAGTTAAGTAACACCTTTTTGGAAGATGTTGCAAAATTTGAAACATAATCATGCCTGGTAAACTATCAAATATCAACCCAAATGAAGAAAGGAACAATTTTACTGAGACTTTTTTGCTGCACTTCTGATACAAAACATGCACAATTTCAGGCCACTAGGTTGACATTCATAAAATTATTTTAAAAAAGTGATTTTTGTCTTGCCAGCAACAAATACCCTAGAATACAATACAAAGAGATGGCAATTCCAGTAATGGTGAAAACTTTTTGTAAAAAGCTTTATATCTCAGAAGGAAGAAGACCTGGTTAATTCATATCTTGTTTACAGATGCCTTATGAGTTATGATCTGAAATTACGTCTGCTTGATTGAGTCAAATTCTCAGATACTATAAGCAATCGGATAGCTATAATGATTTTAAGGTGAGCATGTCCATTTAGCAGGGTTCAACTGAAATTGACCTCCTTTTCTTGGTTCATTGGTCAAAGATTATGTGATCAGGCCTGTTTGTCGGTTATAATTAGCAAAAGGTCAACAATATTTGTTGTATGGAATGATTGTCAGGTGTACATGTTCATCTGACTTTAAACTTATTCTATTGGTCAACAATAAGGTTAGATCTGTACCAACTTTTTTCAGATACTTGACTACCAATACATTTGGTGTGAATATATCAGTTGGACTGGTTCATCTAACGTTGATCTGATTTTCATGGTTCTTTGGTTAGACTATTTTATTATGTCCATTCCTCAGATTCTATAGCATGAGGTCAACTAAATTTTCTGTATGGAGTTATTGTTAGGTGTACATGTGTCCATAAGGGTTCGTCTGACCTTAACCTCATTTTCTCAGATATTAAACCAATAGGTTGACTATATTTGATGTATGGAATGATTTTAAGGTGAATATGTCCGTCTTGTATGGTTCTTCTAACCTTGACCTTATTTTCATAGATCATTGATAATATTAAGTTCATGCGATACATCTACATGTAATAAAACCTTGATCTGAAAGATTTCAACATAATGACAAAGCAGGCATGACATTTCATTGTGATCTCTTGTTTGGTGAAATTGGCCAATTGTCATTCGAGTCTTCACAATCCTTGGCACCACAACAAAGAGCCCCATCTCATGAACAACAATCCTTGGCACCACAACAAAGAGCCCCATCTCACGAACAACAATCCTTGGCACCACAACAAAGAGCCCCATCTCATGAACAATCCTTTGCACCACAACAAAGAGCCCCCCATCTCATGAACAACAATTCTTGGCACCACAACAATGAACCCCATCTCATGAACAACAATTTGCATGACTATTTTTTGCAATGATTTCAATTGACCCTTACCTTGATATAATATAGCTATTATCAGATTAGAGGCATGCTCTATTTCAATCTGATTAAATAGAGATCCCATGTCCACACAAGGATCTGACAACACTCTGTCCTACTTACTGTTCTGATCAATTTTATACCAACCATTGAAATTTCTGCCTTCAAATTTTAAAAGGTGCTCGTCATTACGACAAAAACTGATAATCCTGATAGGTCGTAAAACTAAAATAGAATGGAGTGTTTTCAGAGCCTTTTAAGTGAAGAGTGGACAGTGGACATTTCGGGCGTTTTTAATCAGATTGGTTCTATTTTATTATGAAATTATTCCATCATAGTTGTATATCTGGGAACTCTTACTCTGGACTTCAATTTTAAAATAGGGTAATTTACATTGTAAACCATTCTTCTTTACTTGATGTAAGGTAGAGACAAGATCTTAATAACCTACAAGCTTTTATGAGAACGCGACCTAAGGCCAATATCAAATCTCATAATTCAAGTGGTCACCTTAATATTGTGTACAACCCTCTTTAATTAACCAACTAGATAATCTTGTGCAAGCATGCTCACCTGTCGTATGGGTTCTTCACTGGCTTAGCCAAACCAAACTTTGGAAAATGTATTTGCTGCTTCTCCATGAAGCACACTGCATTTAGAAGCAAGCAGCAAGATGAATCAGCTCAGGATCAGAATAATGTGTCTGGGAAGGGTGACCTATATTTCTGTGGAGTTATCTTGTGAACTAGCACATGAAAATGTAACCTCCGAAAACGATAAAACTGGCTTACGAAAGCACAAATGTAAGGTTCATGAATTTATTGTACTGTATTCATATATTCACATTATACATATATCGAAAAATAACATTAATTATTGGCAACGCTGAATAGTTCAATATTTGTGAAAAAAATGGAAAAACACAAAACATCATAAGTCTATTAATATGCAGATATAAATTCAATTAAATTTAACTTGAAATAAAGATTGCTTTTTCAAATATCAATTAAATACATCAGAACCATTAATTTATCCAAAGCTATATAAAAGCTATAAGAACACGATTATCTCCCTTCTGAATATTACAATTCTTAACATTTCTCAAATCAAAATATGAACACAAGAGAAAGTCTTCAAAGTAAACAACATTTTTTTTATGAATAATCAATAATGTTTCAATTAGAAATATCAAAAATTAACTAAACATAATCATAATATCAATCAAGGGCACATAATTACAATTCAATATACATACCCTAAATAAGGAAATGGTAGACAATTTCACCTCAAAATATCATCCTCTAGTAGGAAAAACACATAGATCTACCTGTGAACAATATTGACTTTATCAGAACCTTTTATATTTAAAATGTAAAACAAATCTTTCATAGTATAAATATTTCTCAACAATGCCTATCAATTAGTTCAATAAAACTATAATTATATTTTTCAAATGATTATACAAATTTCGAAATCATATTTGCATTTGCAAAACTTCAGATAAAAATATAGAATGTTATTTACATGCACATGTCATATTTTTTGTTCTTTTTGTATTTTATAAAACGCTTTTATATAAAACAGTTATATTCAAAATCATTATAAATATTTACAAAATACACCAACCTTAAATCTTCAAATATTCTTGTTGACAAAACTGAGACACAACTACACCTGTCGATCAGTTATTTATCAATAGTAAAAACATACAATGTAGTGAACAGTTTTTACCTGTACACTAATTACTAGAATGAAGTAAATAATATTTTGAAATACCTTTAAATAATATTTGGACAAAATAAAAAAACTGTATCATAAATATGATTTAATAAAATATATAAATGCTAATATAAAAATTATCTTTTATGTTTTTTCTTAATTTTATTTAATTTCCAAATTTTACTTCAATTGCTGAACTCTATACAAAGAGAGATAACTCAAAAACTTCTAATGTAGTTTTTGACATATTACAAAACTTCAATTGCTGAACTCTATACAAAGAGAGATAACTAAAAAATTTCGAATGTAATTTTTGACATGTTACAAATCTGCCTAGTTTTCTTTTTGTTGCCCTCAACAAACAATATAAAAATACACAACTACATATTCAATATCATTATCTTTGTTATTATAATGATCTAGCATAAAAATATTGTGATCGTTTGACTATACAAATAAAATATACTTTCTCTCAAAATTAACATTTTTCAACATAAATCTAATTGTTTGACATATTATGCTTCAACCATCCTTCTTGAAGCGTTTGTCCTAAACTCTGTCCAAGACTAGTTCCTAATGCAGCAATTGCTTCACCCAATTGTTCAAATTTCACTGGTTCTATGTTTGCATGAACAGATGCTTCTTTTAACAAGACAGACGTTGGCAAGTTAAAAGGATTTGAATGTTTTCCAGCGTTTGTTCGTTTTGATCTCCTTCTTGAATTGTCATCATCTACCGGTGGTGTCATATCTATGCTAGCTGTTGTAACATCTTGTTCACCTTCGCCAGATTCCTGATGTTCTATTTGAATTGGTAACGGAATCGGGTCAACAATGGTCACATTCCATCCTCCAAAACTCGAATTACTGTCCTCAGTAATATCTGAACTTGAGTTTTGCATCATGTCTAATTTTCCTGTGTCACATATTTCTCTTCTAGTGACATTCCTAACGGGACCACTACCATCCGCTAACTGAATCCCATACACATTGTCTTTAAAACGGTGAGCAACTCTGTACGGTGTTGGATGCCAATTGTCCTGCATTTTGTTTCGTCCCTGTACATGTTTCTTCAATAAGATGTTCGAACCAATTTCTATAGACTTGTCATCTGTTCCTCTATTCATAACTTCTTGTCTTTCACTCGCTTTCTTGTGAATGTTCTCATTAGCTGTCTTCAAGGCTTCAGTCATTCGCTTTTGATGATTAGCTAAATAAATATCTAAATCGGTGTCTATTTCCGTCATATCATTATGAAAAAGATTGTCAATAGGGAGTCTTGGCTCATGACCAAACATCAGGAAATATGGAGTATATCCAGTTGAAGAATGCGGTGTTGCATTGTACATGAAAGTTAGTTCTGGCAGATACTCAGGCCATTTAGCTTTCTTTTCGGGCATTAATGTTCTTAATCTGTCATGCATTGTCCTATTAAATCTCTCAGTTTGGGCGTTTCCTTCTGGTTTGTACGGTGTTGTCCGTGATTTTTTTATGTCATATATTCTACAGAGTTCACGTATCACTACACCCTCAAAATTCCTACCCTGATCACTGTGTAACCGTTTTGGTATCCCTAGTTTCAAAAACCAATCCTTAACCAAAACTTTAGCGACAGTTGTTGCTTTCTGGTCTCTCGTCGGAAATGCTTGTGTAAATTTAGTAAACACATCAGTTAGTACTAAAACGTTTTCTCTACCATCTGAAGATTTCTCCAAAACTGTAAAATCCATAGCTAGAATATCTAATGGTTTACATGCTATTAACGAACCCATTGATGGACGAACTTTTGGTAAAGGATTTTTAGCAACTAAACAACGTTCACATGTTTTTATCCAATGTTTTACATCGTTTATCATATCTGACCAGTAACATCGTTTATGCAATAGCGCTAATATTCGTTCTGTACCTTGGTGTCCGGATAAATTGTGTAGTGTTTCAAGAATGTAGTGTTTCAATGTTTCTGGTATTACTAACTGTTTACTCTCACCACATTCTATGTCACTGATTTTTCTGTATAAAATACCATTGTCTATCACCAATGAATCAAATTTCCTCAGTAACTTCTTCACTGGTTTCGTTTGTTTCATCAGCATCTGTGTAGTCAGTTTACCCTGCTCTACAAAATTTAAAACAACAGAGAGAACATTATCACTACTTTGTAATTGTTTTATTTCACCTACAGTATACTCTGGAAATGTTGACATTGTCTCTATTTGATCAGTCAAATTTATTTGGTTGATATGCATGTGTTGTACATTGTTGTTTTTACACTCTCGCAATTTGTTTAAAGAAGAACTTTGTACTATTTGTCTGATATTTGTCTCAACATCTAATGGATTCCTGCTCAATACATCTGCATTGACATTAGATCGTCCTGATCTATATTTGACCTCGAAGTCAAATTGTGCAAGTTGAGAAACCCATCTCATTTCAGTCGCACCCAGTTTTGCAGTTTGCAGGTAACACAAAGGATTGTTATCAGTATAAACTATAAATTTACTTCCTATCAAATAGTCTCTGAATTTTTCGGTCACAGCCCATTTTAGAGCCAACATTTCAAGTTTCATCGAACTATAGTTATCCATATTCTTTTCATTCGGATGTAAGCTGCGTGATGCATACGCTATGACAACAGTTCCTTGTTCTTGTTCTTGCGATAGAACAGCGCCTAAACCTTCTATACACGCATCGGTTTCTAAACGAAATGGCTTTTTGAAATCAGGAAAACCTAAAATAGGCGAACTTACTAATTTCTGTTTTAACTCTTCAAACGACTCTTAAACATTTCGCATCCCATTTTTCTTGAAACTCTTTAGCGCTTAGTAACTTCAATTGTTTTGATTTTCCCTTCTTTCCATTTGTTTTTGTAATGAGTGAATGTAACGGAGCAGCTATCTTACTGAACTTTGGAACAAACTTCCTATAGTAACTGCATAGTCCTAGAAATGATCGGAGTTCTTTTTCAGTGGTAGGTACTTTCCATTCTTGAATTGATTTTGTTTTGTCTGGGTTTGTTTTAATGCCATCTTGTGAAATAACATGTCCTAAGTATCTTACCTCCTTCTTGAAGAAATGACATTTAGACAATTTTAATTTCAAACCATGCTGTCTTAGTCGTTGAAACACAAACTCCAGGCGTTCTAACTGTTCTTCTACTGTCTTTGAAAAGATAAGAATATCATCTAAATAAATTAGTAATATTTCAAAATTTTTGTCATTGAAACATGCTTCCATTATTTTTTGAAATGTAGCCGCACTATTAGAAAGTCCCATCGGCATTCTTAGGTACTCATAAAGACCTCCCGTTCCAACACGAAATGCAGTCTTATGAATATCCCTTTCATCGGTCGCCACTTGATAATAACCTTGGGATAAATCTAACGTTGTATAAAATTTTGTTCCGTGCAAAGTGTCTAATGCCTCTTCGATCCTTGGAAGTGGATAAGCGTCGCGTATTGTCTTTTTATTCAATAATATATAGTCAACACACAGCCTAATAGACTTGTCATGCTTACGGACTATTACTACGGGCGCAGCATAAGGACTACAACTCTTACGAATAATATTTTGATTTAACAATTGTTTGATATGTGCTCTAACTTCTTCCATTTGATTAGGCGGAATACGTCTATGCGGAATCGCAATTGGTTTCTCGTCTGTCGTAAGAATTCTGTGCTTTACAATGTCTGTGTATCCTAAATCCAAATCATTTTTACAAAATATATCGGTATTCTTGTTTAACAAGTCTTTAACTTTTTCTATTTGTTCATGCGTAAGGTTTTCCTGTTCTATGTCGAGGTCATTCAATTGTATTTTCTTATTGTTCTCTATATTTGTCGTAGCTTGCTTACAAACAGCAATATCTATTTTCTTTATTTGAACGTTAATTTGAGTCTCATCTATATCAATGTCAATATTGTCCTGTGACACCTCGTGTATTAGTGAAGCTGAATGTAATGTACCAACTCTTGTTTTCTGATTAATTCATACATCTTCTAATCCTATATTAATCATACGTACCGGTACTGTTCCTTGACTTATCTCAGCATAACTATCAACTACCATAATGTTTCTTGGTAAAGAGCCTTGGTTACCTTGTAATGACTGAACAACTGCACAATGTTTTTCATTATTGTCTTTTTGTCTGGTTGTACACATTACTGTCTTCATTGAATTTCCAGGTATATGTACTGGACTGCTACCTGCTATCTTAACAAAAAATATCTTTGGAGAATCTTTTTCACAGTCAAAAGAATTATTGTATAAAGTTAAGATACCTGACAATTGCTTCCCAATAAGAGTGTTTTTTTCAGTTTCATTATAAACTTCTAAGGTTTCTTTCATCTTCATAAAAAAATTGCTTCCTAGTAAAAATGGTAATTTACTTTTACTATTTTTATCAGTGTCTTTCACAACAAGAAAACCAACATTCGGAATCATTGTTTTCACTACTGAAATGTTAAGTTCAATATAACCTAAATATGGGATAGGTAAATCATTGGCTCCAGTGACTTTCATCCATCTTGTTATGTCGTGTAGTATTGGTTTCGTTTCTAATAATGTATTAAAATATGTTTCAGTAACTGTTGAAACCTGGGAACCAGTATCTATAAGTGCTATAACTGATTGATTTTCAACAACAATTTCTGTCTCTGGACTTTTACTAGCAATGTTTTTAAAAATATTACTTTGAAATGAATTGGAGTCTACTTGTACTGTAGTATCTTCTACTGATCGACTCACAGCAGTAGAAGCTACTCTTTTACCTCTTCTGAGTCACTAGGAACAACAGCTCCTCGACCTTGATATCTGTTACCTCTTTGGTTATATCTACCACGATAACCTCTTCCTCTACCTCTAAACTGTCCACGCGTATGTGTTTTCTGTGTATCTTCGTCACTTCTTTGTGCTTGAAAAACTGATGGACATTCCGGACGTTTATGACCCTTACCACCACAATTATAACAAATAATTGGTTTATGGCTATTATATACATCATTGTTTGTTGAATCACTATAGTTTTTAACATTAGACAACCTATCAATTTGCTGTTGTTGTTTTTCTAACAT